AGGGGGGGGGGGGGGTAAAGGGTCATCCCCCAAAGACCATCGACATGACGGCGATCAACAAGACCTTCATCGCCCATCGCTTTGGCAGCTTGGTCTTAGCCCCCATGCGAAACGCGAAAGAACCTGCCACGTCAGTCAAGGCCATATACGCCTTGTCCTCAGCAAACAAAATCCCCCCACCCGGTCAGCCCCCACTTGGCTTCCAACGCACCTGGGAGCAAGGTGAAGGCATCATCCTCCCCACCCCTTTCCTGTTCACCGAGCAACAACACCCCCGCCCGCCCCACCGACAAAACCGACAACCGTATCCGCCAACGACCCCGTCTGCAACCAACCGAGACAGCTGCCCTGCTGCCCCTCCGCCCCCTCCCTCTCCTGCCCCCGCCACTAGCAGCTCGCACACACCCCAGCCACACCCTACGTTCCCACCCCGTCTATTCACTCCGGGATAGCCGGCCCCAACACCGCCAACATCGCTCCCACAGCCCCTTTCCAAATCTTCGCGATTCCTTACCATCACCTCTTCATGACCAACACTGCGGGGATGCCCCACTCCTACGCCTATCCCACATCCTCCCTCTCCTGCCCATTGCCTGATCGGCGAAGACCGTGTTCCTCGCTGGGCTAGCCATGTAACTGAGATAGAACATGTTGATAAGGGAGAATGAAGCGCAAGCGATAGGAGTACTCGACTCCGAGGTCTTTGACCGGCTGGTCTTCGCAACCAAATTTGTAACAACATAGCTCGGCGGTTTGCGCAGCGAGTAACGTAATGTTTGATCCAACGATAGTTGTGGTATTGATAAGTACCGTTTGGTGTTTGAAGTTTAGGCATACCGTTGTGGTACGGATGACCGTTGGCCCGGTGAGCCAAGGCTGCCGTAGCGGCGTTACACTGCTTGGGTCCCACAGGCGTAATGGTTCTTTAGCTGCCGTTGATTTGACTATTACCAAGAGGTGTTTCCCGCTGCTGTTTTGTGTTGCACCGTATTTTCTTAGCGTGATTAGGATCGATGTCGGCTATCAAAAACGGCGCTACGGGCGCGGAAGGACTAGTGCTCACTCCCGAAATGCGGGCTTTCCTCGAGCAGCAGCTAGCTGAGGAGAGCGAGTCTTTTCGCCAGCAACAGGAAGCACTCACGGCTGACTTCGACCGGAGGCTGAAGGAACACAAAAAGTTAATCCAGTTGAAATTAGCACTAGCCCAATGCGATAATCTTCCACAATTTGCCGAGCCGCCGGCCGTTGCCAGCCACCCGCAATTACGCGAATCCTGGGCCTTTGTGAAAGATGTGCGCGTCGCCACTGAGCATATAAACGTAATTTGATGTTAAGGTTATTCAAGTTCTAGGATGTCCAGATGGACGTGGCCACTACTATCGATACCGGACTCATGCGGCCATCAGGTAGCGTGGGTGTCAACGGCTTTTCTGAACGCGGATGGCTCCAGCAGCAGGCATAAGACATATCCCGGCTCTGGCACTGGAGGCCCTAACAGCTTCCGTGGGATACTACAGGAACACATGGGATGCTACAGGCCCTAACTACAACAAGCCATGAAGCCTAGGGCGTTTCACCTGCACCAGGCCGAATGTGGCTAGTACCATCGTGCATCGACTGCTTATGAGGCAGGATGTCTTTTGTTGTTACATGGTCGTGGGTGCGTTCCCCGTACCTGCAAACCACCCTAATACGAGCCGAGGGTTCAAGGGCTGCCAGATCGCCTATAAGCACCATCCTTAGGGTTGGCCGGATGTTTAGATTTAGAAAATAATTTAGATGCCATCTAATTAGATTTCTATATAGATTTTAGATGAGGCCATCTAAACCGTTTAGGTGGGCATCTAAACGTATCTAGTCCATCTAATGCCTATCTAAAGGCCGGTGACCGGATCCAGACCGTTTAAACGTGAGTCATGGCACGCGAAACAGCTATGTTGAAGGTAAGTTTAGTGTCATATCCTTGCTCCGCTCTATTACATACACAAATAGACGTAAAAATACACAATGGCAGAACCAGGACCCCAAAAGCCGATCACATACAAATACAACCACCAGACTTTCGACGCGCCACAGTACGCAGCTAAGCTCTGCGAAGCCAAGCGCAGCATCAAAGCCGCAGCGTACTGGTCCATCTTCGACGTGTTGCTCGTAAAAGGCGTTGTGAACCTCGTCTGCACCGTTTGCAACAAGTCCTATAGCGCGAAGAACCCGTCAGCTGTCTGCCCGGATCACTATGCGAAGCACCAGAAGGACGTCGCCAGCGCGGTCGGAAGCGAGCAGTCCGGGGCGCCCACAACCAACAGCACGAAGCGCTCGCGCGCGGAGGAGGGGCCAGTTCGGACCTTCTTCCTCGCTGCAGTGCAAATCGCCACCTTCCTGAAGCACCTGGCTCTTTTCTTCTTCAAGTGCAACATCGCCCTCCAACTGATCGAGCACCCCGACCTCGTGAAGGCTGATGAAGGCTGAATGAGGGCTGTTGTCGTCTAATGCCGTGATGTTTCTGTCGTTTGCGTGGTGCGGCCGGTGGGCAAGGACAACTGACTGCGTGACGGGTGTGTGGAGGTGAAATCCCGTTGTCGCCAGTCGAACAGGCCGGCAGAACAGAGCCCGACAGCTTTGCATCCCAATGCGGGCGTGTCCCGCATGTTGGCATGTGTACTTTGGTGGTTCCGTTTGCGGTTGGGCCGACGGTTGGGC